GGTGGCTCGGCTACGAACCAGCTGAGCAGGTACGAGAATCAGAAGAGAAGAGATTGGAACACTTTTGGACAGTATCTACGCAACCACCGTCCGCCACTTTCTCTCTCCCGTTGCAGTGGTGCTCATGTTCTTGAATTCCTTAGGTACCTCGACCAATTCGGCAAGACCAAGGTATACATATAAAGTTACATATAGTGTGCATATCTCTCACATCAAAATATTCTTTACGATTAGTTTCCCTTTAAGAAATAGATCCAAATGAAACCCTATTTGGCTAATTTGGGTTTGTTTTTTGACCTACGATATATTTATATTGTAAGTTGTAACTCAGTTGGATTCTTGTAGATATTATTTGTACATGATATTTAATTCTTACAACGAGCTGAGTCTCACTGATCTGCCTTTATTTGATCTCACTTGGGTTCTATATCTTTCATATATTTTCATCTTTCACCGACAAATTATATTGTATATTAATTCGAAAGGTTAACTATGTCAATATAAACAAATAGGTAGAATATATGCTCTATGATTCTTCCTATAGACTAGCTATGATGGTTGTGTATATTCAAAATGTTAAAACTCAATCGTTATAAACAAAAAAATGTATAGTCTATAGTTATTCTTCCCATAACGTTATAGATTAAAATGGTGATTTTGAACTACAATTTGATCTTGCATCTCTCTAGGTTCACACACAACTGTGTCCTTTCTTTGGACATCCAAACCCACCAGCACCATGTGCCTGTCCACTCCGACAAGCGTGGGGCAGCCTCGACGCACTCATTGGCCGACTTCGAGCCGCATTTGAAGAGAACGGTGGTTCACCAGAGACGAACCCTTTTGGTGCACGAGCTGTTCGACTATACCTAAGGGAAGTGCGTGACTCGCAGGCTAAAGCAAGAGGGATAAGCTATGAAAAGAAGAAGCGGAAGCGACCTCCTCCGCCACTACCACCATCTCAGTCCGCTATTTCAAGTAGCCCTAATTATAGCAACTAAGTCATCAGTAAGATATTTCAATCAACTATGTTTGTTTACTACTTATTTGTTGTCAATGACGAACATGAACATGCACGAGTTATTTAAATATGCAACATGCCCTTTTCTTCCTAATGCTTTATTTGGCAAGCTAAAGAATATTATGTTGTATTAAATCAAATAATGTTCTTTTATATATCCACGACTATATATGTATTGAGTCTATTTTCAATACACACAGGTCACAAATTTTATTTTATTCATGCGTTTTATCAAACCCTATTCAATTCACGGGTTTATACTTTATACTACTTATTGAAGTTTTGATCAAGAAGAACCTCGTTTATCCTTTACATTCATATCAAAAAGGGAAACTCATTTATCATATTATGTCAAAATTTTCTCTCTATAAATTATTGGTGTTATCTCTATAAATTATTGGTGTATATATGCCTAAATTGATCAAGTTATACAAATATTAATGCTTTGTGTGACATTCATATATATTTTTCTTATAAGCGGGTCCAAATGCAAGACCGAAAATGAATTATAGTTTTTTTTTTGTCTTATATAGTTATACTAAATTAGATTTCCGTGTAGCTATCGATCTTCATAATTGGCCTCTATTGGTAGAACCAAGTGATAATATTTGGGATTATATAAGATGAATATTATTGTAGGTCGATAAGACTTGACAAAAGAAGATTTGCAGAATCGTGCCTTTTCATGCTCTGTGTATGCCTTCCTTTGTAGCGTCTTAATTTGGTAGGGAATTGGCAAATCATTCAGTTTCTTGTCCTTGTTACAAAAGTCTTTTCTTTCTTTTCTTTAAAACAAAAAAATGTAATATTATATGTTTGCATTTGATTGCGCTTAAGATTTGATTTTCGCATATTAATAAAAACACAAAACATATTATTGTTTTTACACATTAGGCAAATGAGAATAAAAAAAAAACTATATGTTGGCGTCAGATGGACAGGTCAACACAAATAGTGATGATCATTTTTCACATATGCTCCCTGATGTTTAAGATCAGTTTGAAAAAATCTCAACAAAAACAATTGACGTCTCGGGTTGATTATACACAAGTTATTATTAAACCCACGAATTATACTACATATTACCCCTTAACTAAATTAGAACTCACGTAATACATGGAATTCTAATATCGAAAAACTAATTCGAATTGTTGTGAAAAATCACTTCAAAAAGGTTGATCTCAAATGTTTTTTTTTTGTTAAGTCTACTTTTATACACCTACCAATACAAACATGTATATATATTTTATTTTTATTTTAAAAATTAGAGAGCTTGAAGATGTTTAAATATATTATGATATGATAATATTTCTAAGAAATTCTAACCAAAAGTTATATAAAAAAAAAGAGTTTAAGCAAGCTCTTATTTTTTTAAGCAAGCTAAACA